CTGCTTTAAAATATTGTCTGACTACTTTACCGGTTTTAGATTTTGATGCCTTAACATACGAATAAGGTTAATGTTGCAATGGAAGATATTGTTATTTATTTTAAAATTTGGTTGACTTAAAAAATACATAGGAATAAGTTGAAGTCACAAAACCACAGGATTTTAATTAAAAACAGAATTGTCCTTTATCTCTGTGGCCTCATCTCTACTCCCCCAAAGGTAACCCTTTCAACTCTTTTTGTTGTGACTTTGTGTTCCTCGCCATCTCTCTAAATAAGCTACTTTTAGATATTTTTTTTTTCAGTTTCAGACTTTACCTATTGATTTTCCACCATAGAAGATAGGGAATAAGTTCTTACAGCAGTCTCCTCAATGCCAATCAAACAGAAATATACACTTCTCATCTTCCTACCAACCCAATACAGCAATATTATATTTTGGTTAAATTAATATTTCACTTTCACTTTTTTATAGCCATGTAAATATTGCTCATAACAGAGTTATATGGTACACTATGACTTATTCTTATTTTTTCTGGCACTTTTGTTTCCTTAGTGATGGCTTTTGGTTATTGCTTGGTTTTCCAGTTTTTATTCCTGCAATCATGAGTTAAATCCCCAACATTTTTCTACCACTTGTACTATAAATCTCTTCTTAACATGTTAAACATCAGGTGTGTGTGTGTGTGTGTGTGTGTGTGTGTGTTTATTTTGACAACAGCACTGCTGTTTGATTGGCCTTTGATTGGCTGTCTGTACTGGTTGCTTTTTGGGGCCTGTGCCTATATGATATTCTGGAATTTTCCTTCACCAACATCCAAGGGTTCACTTTCCTCTCTTTGACTGGAAGCCCATCATCCTCTTTTAATTTATATCTTTGTTTTGGTGTAACAACTCTTTAAGTAGCTCTGTGATATCTACTGAGACTTCACTTCTTTGAAAGTATTTTTATTCCTCCCTGACATCTGGATGATAATATGGCTAGATAGTATTTGGTTCATAATCACATTTGCTCAAAACTATGAAGGTATTATTCCATTGCCTTATAATTACCAATGCTACTATTAAGAACATGAAAGCCACTCTGGTTCCTGAAAGATATTACTTTTTTCTTTTTTTATTATTTAATAGGAATGTCTAAAATCTCAAGCTAATATTCTGAAATTAGACAATTATGTTGGAGGCTTTTAAAAATAATTAATTTTGTTTATCTCTTAGAGGTAAAAGATAGCACTTTATTTCTCACTGATCAGAAGCTATTAGTGTCCAATATTTTAAAAATAAAATGTAGAGGTATAATGGATAGCCTTATTACTATCACCATTGTTTTTGGAGGTCTCGACCAGGACAATAAGACTAAAAAGGAAAATTAAAAACACACAAAATTTAATATGTATACAACATGATTATGTGCTAAAAATCATAATACAGGATAAAGCATCTCAAACTAATAACTGCATTTAGCAAGTTGTTATACAAATACAACATACAAAAGCATACCCTTCTATAAATTTTGACAGACATATTAAAGTCACCACAGCACTCAAAAAAGGAACTTTTCCATCACCATGAACCTTGCCTCCTCTATCATTCACCCCTTCCCCTACCAACAAAGTGCCATATTGCTTTCTGTCACGATGGATTAATTTGCACTACATCTATATTAATATCAGGTATAGATACTCTGACTTTCTTTAAATTTTTTTTGACTAGGCATTTGCATTCCAATGTAAATGTTTGAATTAGCCCGTCAGTTTCCACAAAAATGAAATAAATCCCCGGGAATTTTGTAGAGATTAAGATGAATGTAGACATTAATCTGGAAAAAAAAATGACATTCTAATGATATTGTTTTCTATCTCATTGATATAATGTGACATAATTATTTATATCTTTAATTCTCTCACTTTCATAGTTTTAAATGAATAGTTGTACATATTTTATAAATTAAATATTTCATTCTTTTGAATGACAATGGAAATGAATTGTAATATTTATTTTGTTTTTCTTTTGTTTATTGCTAGGACATAGAATTACTACTCAGTTTTTGTATATTGTATTTGAATAACAGGACTTGCACTTATTGGTTCTTGGTCCTTTATTCTGTATTCCTTATGATTTTTCAGTATATAAATTAAATTTTGTGTGCTTTTTAATTTTCCTTTTTAGTCTTATTGCCCTGGCTGGGACCTCCAAAACAATGGTGATAATAGTAATGAAACTGGACATTTTTGTATTGTTCTCAGCTTTTAGGTGAAAAGCATTCAGTCGGTCACTATTAAGTACAAAGCTACCTACGCATCTTTCAGATATATAGTTGAAGATGTTTCTCTCTCTTCTTTCGCCTCATTTACTGAGAGTTATTAATCATGGATGAATATTGATTTATTTCTAAATGCTTTTACTTCATCTTTTGCTTGATATTTATATGGGTATTCTTTCTTTTGTGAATATGGTAAATCACATTAATTAATTTTTGCATTTCTGTAATAAACCTTATTTGGTCATGAACTATAGTTCTCTCTATATGTTACCAGATTAACTTACATATATAACTTAAGCACATATATACATAGTTTATGTTTGTAATATCTTTGCCAGTTTTAGTGACATAGTAATACTGTTCTTGTTAAATGTGTTTAGGCGACAAGACATCACATGCACAAAAAGAAAATTACAGAGATCCCTGATGAATATGGATGCAAGAATCTTCAGCAAAAACTTAGCGAATTGAATTCAGTAACTTGTCATGAACAGTGGGATTTATCCCAGGGTCACAAGAATGGTACAATAGCTGAAAAACCAGTCAATGTAATTTATTATGTCAAAAAAAGAAACCATAAAAATCATACATTCCTATTAATAGATGCAGAGAAGGCATTTGATAATATTCAACTTCCATTTATGAACAAAACCCTTAAAAATCTGGGATAGATGAAACACACCTCAATATAATAAAGGCTATTTTTACAAACCCACAATGAACATCATACTCAAAGGTGAATGACTGAAAGTTTTTCCTCTAAGTTATAAGGATGTCCACTTTTTTTTTTTTTTAAGATTTATTTATTTGTTCATACAGAACTGGGGTACAGGCCAGAGGCTCAGGGGCTGCGAGAGACTTCACCAGAAACAGTGGAGAGCAGAAAAGGCAGATCTACGAAGTACACTGCTGAGGGGGGCAGTGGGCGGGTCAGGAGAGGTCTGCCTCGCATGTGGTAACCTCCGGGGCAGGCGGGAATCGAACTCAAGCGGAAGTGGTTTAGTTTCTCAGTGCTGTGCTTTAACCCGCTGCGCCACCAGGGAGGACCAGGATGTCCACTTTTATCATGACTGTTCAAAACAATGTTAGAAGTCTAAGCTGGAACAGTTAGCTAAGAGAAAGATATAAAAGGAATCAAATTGGGAAAAATGAAGTAAAATAATCCCTATTTGCAGAAGACATATTAATATACATAGAAGATCCTAACGACCATTAAAAAGTAAATGATACAATATAAAGTGGTAGGTTACAAAATCAATTTAAAAATTGTTGCATTTCTATTTGCAAATAATAAGCTACAAGAGAAAGGCACCAAGAAAATGATCTATTTACAATGGTATAAAAATAATTAAATATCTAGAAGTAAACTTAGCAAATGTAATAAAGGACCTATACAATGAAAACTATCAGGCATTGTTAAAAAAAATAGAAGACACACACAAACACACACAAATAAAAGATATTCCTTATTCATGAAGTAGAAAAATTAACATTATTAAAGTAGCGATATTACCCAAAGCAATATACAGATTTAATGCAGTCCCTATCAAGGCTGCAAAGGCCCTCATCAAGGAATTAGAGCAAACATTACTGAAATTCTTGTGGAATGCAAACTTGTCCAGCCACTATGGAAAGCTGTGTGGTGGTTCCTCAGAAAACTAAAAATGGATCTATCATAGGAGCCAGTCATTCCACTCCCAGGTATCTATCCAAAGAATCAATTCATGCATTCCCATGTTCATTGCAACCTTAAAAACAATAAGCAAGCTATGGAAACAACCTAAGTGCCCCCAAACAGATGCATGGATTAAGACGATATGATATATATACACAGTGGAACATTATTCAACACGCAAAAATACTAACTCATGCCGTTTGTGAAAACACGGATGGAGCTGAAATAAGTCGGGAGGAAGATAAATATCCCATGGTGTCACTTATATGTAGGATGTAGAGAGACCAAACAAAGGGTTAAGAAAAACACAGAGCTTGCAAACTGACCATAGTTTTGAAGCACCCAGCAGGTCAGGAAAGAGGTCAAAATACAGGAGGGAAGAGCACAAAGGACTTTGGTGATGGATCATGGGTGCTATGGTGGTGGGAAAACTTGACAAGACTTCAACTACTATCCCCAAATTAACAATGGTGTAAGCATTAAAAAAAACGAGGTACTGAAAACAAAATTCTCATGAAACAAAAACAAGACACGAATGAATGAGAAAGGCCGTGTCCCAGAGCCACCGCTGGGATGGAGTCATCCCATGCAATTCTTGCCCTAAGGACTTGGGTGGAGACCCAGTAACTAGCCAGGTTCTACCCTTACTCCACCAACCCAAGCCTCTGCAACAGCAGCGCCTCCCCTAGTGACGCCAAGGAAGGCGGGACTTCCGGCCGCCTAAGTTTAACAGTCCAGGCGGGAGCCGGAAGCCCAACGCGGAGCGGGCTGCGCCGTGGCCCCCGGTGTACCGCGACTCGGAGGTGAGGTTCCGGAGGCCCCGGGGTCAGCGGCCGGCCGCTCGCCGCGTCTCGGCACGTTCCCCACCTCCGCCCGCCCTCCCGCCACCTCTGGGGACGGGCCGGAGGTCCCTGAGGTCCGCGTGCCCCGCCTGGGCGCTCGAGACTGTTGCCCGGCTGGGGCGCGGCGGCGCGTTGGGCGCGGAAGTGCCCGGGAGCCGCGGGCCGGGGTCGCGCCCCTCGGCCTGCGACGCTCCGCCCCGGCCTGAGAGGTGGCTGCGGGGTCGGCCTGGTAGGTCAGTGGCAGCTCTGGGAGGGGTGTTGTTCCGGAAAGTTTGCTGCTTCTGCACAAGTCCGTCACCACTTTAGTAAACCTCTCCAACAACTCGTGTAGCAGGCCCTCACATGCAGTTTATCAGGTAAGCCCTGCTGGGCAGTCCTGCAAGTAAAGTGCATTTTTGGTAACTGAAAGTCGAAGAAGTTGTGTTTGTTTACCCTGAGTGTTGTAGCGGGACGGTTTCACGTAGCCGCTATCCGGCGATCTGTGGGCGGCCCGCAATTAACGCCTGTTGTCCTGACAGCTCTCTTCTGGGACCCTCCGAAAGAGTGATGTTATATGACTCGTAAACGTGCTCAGTGCTCTGAAGACAGGTAGGTGGGCAGGCAGGTGCTCCTTTCCCCACCCCCCGACCCCCCCTTCAGAGACGGAAGACTATGAATTGGCCGAAGTCACTGTCGCTAAACTCAGAACCTACTTTTTCTGAACTTCGATTATGTAGGTTCAGACTATACCACACCGCTCAAGAGTAATATTGTGTTTATGGGTTTAGAGATGGCTTTTCCAGCCCTTCATTGAGTAGGTTCATGTTTAAGACACCAAATCCAAACTCTCGGTTTTCAGCAGGTGGACTGTAGGGGCATTTGGTAACATTGTATTTATCTGATGAATGAAACATAACGGATCACATAGGTTAAATAAGTTTCAGCTTTTTTTTTTTCTAATAAACATTAAGTTTTGTGGTCTTGAGAATCAAAGAGCTCTATAATTTATTATGCCTTTAACCTACCCCCTGAAATAAGGTTTACTGTGATGTCTTAGGATCCAGTCTGTGACATCACTAATGCTTTGGTGCACTCTTTTTTTCTATGCCCACCAGGAGGGCTTGAAAGGGATATTTCTAGGTCCCCTCTCTTTTCCCTTTTACCTATATACTTTGAACATTTTTTTTCCTGACCTATTATGCATTATTAACGTCTTTAAATGTCTGCCTAGAGGGTTTTCTTAACTTCTTAGATTGCCTTGGTTTGTGAAATCACTTTGTTAGAATTTTATATGCTGTGAATGAATAAAACAAACAAGGGCACTAATGTAGACCAAGTATTGGCTTAAGGATTTAGTGACATCTTCTTTGGTTATATTTGCTAATTTTGGAGTACTTTGGAAAAACTTGGCCAGGTGTCCTATAAATCATGCTAATGAAGTTGGATTTCATTGTAATTGTTACAGAGAGCCATGGGAGGGTCAACTAAAAGATTAAGACCTAGTTTATATTTTAGAATGATCACTTCAGTTATTTAGAAGTGAGCACACTGGGACACAAGTGGAAAGTAGAGCTATGTGCTTTAAATGAGATGCAATACTTTTTCTTTGCCTGTCCTTCAGTGTTTTAAAAATTTACTGTTTTAACCTATTTGTAGGTGCAGTCATGCAGGAAAACCTCAGATTTGCCTCATCAGGAGATGATATTAGAATATGGGACGCTTCATCTATGACACTGGTGGATAAATTCAACCCACACACATCACCACATGGAATCAGCTCAATGTGTTGGAGCAGCAATAGTATCCTTTTTTTTTTAAATACCAATCACCTTTTTGTTAGGTTAAGTGGTCAATATCTATGAAAGTTTGTATGTGAACCATAATGAGAAATATGTCTTATATAGCGCTGAAAGATAATGTGAAGCAGTTTAATACACGGTGATGCAGTACACACTGATATCCTCTGTTGATTTCATTAGAAAAATTTCAGTTGCTGCCCATTATAATGGAAAATACTGCTCTTCCTAGAATATAGTGTATTTAATTTTTGCAAGGTTTTGGAGTGAATTTTTGTATTTACATTTGGATATTTGTGAATCTACACTGCAAATTAAAGACAACTCAGAACCAGAAGCCAAGGTTTGGGGAGGAGATAAAAGTCATCAAACATCCCAGCTTACTGATATACTCCCTGTGTTTTTCTTCCTTTCTTTCTGTGATGAAAATAGTCTCATTTCCTGAACAAATTCTTATTACTGCATTTTCCTAAGCATTTTATGATTCTGATTCATTCCCTCCCTGACTTAGTAAGCTTGTAAGTGTGTAAGGAATGAAACTAGGAAATCAGTGTTCCGACTTCATACTAGCGATAGTGTAGACCAGATTATTCTTTGTTGCGGGGGCTTATCTTGCGCGTTGTACAGTACTTCAGAGCCTTCCCGACCCCTTGTACCCGTAGCTCACAGTATGACAACCAAAAATGTTCCCAGAATTTCTAAATGTCATCTGGGGTCCAGAATCAGCACACTTGAGAACCACTATGTAAATAAAGTACTGTGTACAACTTGTGTGTGAAAATATTCTATATAATTTGCATGCTAAAAATTACTCTTTTGTGGAACTCCATACTCTTTTTTTTTTTTTAAACAAAGTTTTAACAAATGTCTGATCCTATCAATACCAAATCATTAATATTCTACTTCCTGATGAAAGCATAGGCCTTTAGGTTTTAGAATAACTCCATACTCTTTTTTTTTTTTTAAACAAAGTTTTAACAAATGTCTGATCCTATCAATACCAAATCATTAATATTCTACTTCCTGATGAAATTAAAAATATAAATGCTTAATATGATTGATTCATGAAAAAAATTCAAAGTTTTTATGCCCAACCTAATTTTGCAAATACATACAAAAATAAAATTTCTTTCTGAATTAAATTTCTTCATCATTTATTTTGCTAATCAAGGAATGATGAAGAGGTAAATTCACCTTTTCAAGATAAATTAGAGGGGTAAATAGGTCACACTCTTGTTTTTATTTTTTCATGCATTTCTTACATTCTGACAAGAGTAGTGGTAAATGGGAGAATCAAGGAAAGGGAAATGATTTGTCAGTTTTATAATCATATCAAGTTTGGAATGATTTTTTTGAATAATGTATGCAGTACATTTATAATCCATGCTCTATTTACAAAATATCCAGTGTTCAAATCATAAGTAATGCAGTTGGCACTTTGTTGAAAATGACTGGGTAGTTCTCTTGGTTATAGTAGAGTGCTGATAAGCATAGCTTTAAATTTCAATATTTTAATTTATGACTCAAAATCAAGCTCTTGTTTGTATACTGTGCTTATCTTTATTTTATCTTTATATTTATTTTGTGTTCACTATTCCACTTATAATTTATGTAAATGAGATATTTAATTTTTAAAATAATTAAACAGTAATTTGAAATTAAATTTTAAGAGAATTTAATTGAAATAAAGTTAAGGCTTTTCCATAATACAAATAGTTGCTAATTGACCACATTTATTATTTATATTTGCTCTTTTTACTGTACTATGTAATCTTAATACATTTAAGATTAAATCATTCTTTCACAAAAATTCCAGTTATGAAAATGCCATATTTTTGGTGGAAAAATAGGAGACAAATGTTAGTATTTGCTTCCTAGCTTACATTGGTACCAGACACTGTATTAATAACTATCTTGAAGAGTTTTTATATAGTTTTTATAGAGCTTTTATGAAAAAGTCTGATTGCTATTTGCTAATGGTTGCTATTATCATGCCCTATTCTTGAAGGATAAAATTAGACCTTCTGGCTTACTCTTTGAAAATGGGGTAGTATTTCACATGGGTGAGATAGCTTTCAAGTGGTAGCAAAGCCCGAAAGGACAGTCTTTCCCTGTGGTAGTAGAAAGGAGAATCAGGCTTAGTAATTGGTAACCTGAGCCATTTTTGAAAGCTAATGTGGAAGCTATATTCATTTGCTTGTTTTCTTAGTTTAGTGCATTTATTTTTATTATCACAATTCTTAGAATGATAGTCTAATGCTAGAGAGACTCGTGGAAGTTATTTGATGCTCCCTAACTCTTCATCTAGATAACTTTCTAGTGACAGCATCTTCCAGTGGTGACAAAATTGTTGTTTCAAGTTGCAAATGTAAACCTGTTCCACTTTTAGAGCTCGGTGAAGGGGTAAGTGACTTCTTATGAAAATTTTAAAAATCTTTGTCCTATTTGGGTGGTAATTGCTTATTTACTGTGGTGCTTGCAACTAAATATAAAGCTTTCTGAAAGCATTATTTCTGACCTAAAGTCAGCATAATGCAGTAACAGCTAAAGTTGAGTGAACACAGATATATCTTCAGATGAAATAATACTAGATACAAGGGTATCAGTTGGGACTTAGAGTTTGTCAACGGGACACTTGCTTTCTCTCTTTCCTCACTGAGAAGTTCCTTAAAATTGCTATCATTTTTTAAAAGGACCCCAAGTCTCTAGATTTCTCTACCTTAAGAGCCCTTATGATGTAGCCTTATGCTCACTGACTTTGGTCTCGGGGCTATCAGCTTCAGACTCTAGCTGATGGTAACCTTCTGCTTTAGTTTCTGTCTACCCTATTTTGAAGCATCTGCTAAAGCCTCCCCAAACTCACTGGGACAGTATACCTTTGTCAATATGAAACTTGGAGCATTTAAATAAAGCTCTCACTGATTATTGTTTCATTATCTTTCTGTTTTATAAGTTAATCCTTATGATTTAAGAAGATAATGCTGGCACTCTTGAAAGCTATTTCTTTTTAAAATAAGGTTTAAATAAAAATACAACTGTTTGGTAGCTTACTTTTTAAGTTTCAGAGTTTTTGTAGCAGACCCTAAATCACTCTGAATTGCCATAATTTTACACACTGGAGTTGTTAATGTAGCCCAATTAGAAAGAAAACAGCAGGGCAATCTACTAGAAACACATCTACTTTAAAAAGGACTTAGAACTTTTATCACTTCTTTCCTAAAGATATGTCATGGGATAGATCCGAACAACAGTTCCCATTCACAGATGGAGACAGAGAGAGTCTCTGCTATGGGTAGAAATGTTTTTTGAGCCATTCTGCCTTTCAAACTCAGATAAGTAAAACTGAGGCAGAAAGTATCCCTGGCTGATAAATGGTAAACTGTACTTTTAAGAGCAGGGAAAACATCTTAGCCATCTTTGGGTTTTCAGAGCTTGTCAAAGGTGATCAACAAACATTTCCTGAGTTAAAAATCAGCATCAGTAATTTTTATTGTGTTCTACCTCCACCACACACACATGTGTTTATATATATGTATCTGTGTGTGCATATTTATTTACATTGCTACTATTTTTTTTTTCCATTTTGCCTTAATACCAGTCTGTTTGGGACATTTTTGTTGTTAAGGTATAAAAATAATAAATGATATTTACAAATATGACACAATTCTAAGGAATTTGTGAATATCTCACTTTTAGTTAGTTGCTATTCGTTCTTTTTCCGACAGCTAAGAAATCACATCAGAATGCAGGTGGATGAGATGAGGTTATTTAGTTACAATTTGAATCTGCTTTCATTTACTTTTAAAAATATTCTGTGAACTTTGATACGTTAGCCTTTATTAGTAATTTCTTGTAACATTAGTGTATTGATTATATTGGCTTCATAGGATCCAAGTCCTCTTACTCATGTGTCATTTGAGAGACTGGACATTTCCTATTGAGCAAAATAACTTTCTCTCTGACTTATGTTAACGTTTTAAAAGAGGAATTTAAATTCATACTTCTTTGACTTTGTATTTTGCCATTTTAAAGTTAACAGATTAGTATTAATAGGATTATAATGAGGATGATGGACTTAGAAATTCAGCACATGTTATTTTCCAATTTTAAAATTACACCTTTTGCTTGTGTCTTGGGGTGCAGGATTTTTATAATAGCCATACAATTTTCATTAATTATTTAAGTTCACTAACTATATTAATAATACATTAACATGAAAAAAGATCTATCATCAGAGTCCTTAAAAATAATTTGGTTTTGGGCCCAGCGGGTTAAAGCACAGCACTAAGAAGCTTAAACCACTTCCGCATGAGTTCGATTCCCGCCTGCCCTGGAGGTGATCCACATGGCGAGGCAGACCTCTCCTGACCTGCCCACTGCTCCCCTCAGCAGTGTACTTCGTCGATCTGCCTGTTCTGTACCCCACTCTGTCTCTGGTGAATCCTCTCACCCTCCACATCTCTGGCCTGTACCCCAGTTCTGTACGAATAAATAAATAAATCTTAAAAAAAAATTGGTTTTGACACTTAAAACCCTACTATAACAAATTTTGATGGATGCCATTTTAGTCTTTTAAAGATTATTTTAATAGTTTGTAGCAGACTCTTCTGATTTGTCATGATAGTTACTAAGTCTTTCTAGATTGTTTGGAATGAAGTCACCTCCTGGAGCGGTGTGCCTTGAGAGAGGTATAGCATGTTCACTTAGACTTATGCAGTATGCTCCTGATATTTTCATGTTTGTTAATAATTTTGGTCAGAATTTCAGGGCTGGATTGAACCTAGAGGGCAAGGGGCTATTCCCCTTTTTCAAAATCTGCTGCTGTTGAGCAGAAAATGTTTTTGAGATGCATTTACTCTCAAAGTAAGAATATTAGGCCTAGTTATTATCTCTGATCTTTTGAGTAAGGAAACAGGCTTAGAAAGTGAGTTGGCATGTCTCAACCTGCCTAGCTTGCCTTTTACCAAGCACAAACCTATCCCCTTTGGAATTCATTTTTCTATGCACCCCCTCACCCCCATGTAGCTACATAGTATATCCATAAGTTAAGTAGGAAAAATATGTACCAGTGTATTTTGCTGTTTAGTTTAGTTATGGATAGCACCACTTGATAGAGGATACTCAGCAATACTCATGAGAAAAACTTGATAGGCTCTTTATTTTTACCTACTTATCCTATAAATATTGAAGTATAGATGTGGCCTTTGCTCTACTGAAACTGGTGTGCTGGTGGGAGACACATAAATTAGTAAACAGAACACACAAATAGTGCTAAATTGTGCAGAAAACTAAAACAACATATTGAGATAGCAAATTACATTAAATGGTCAAGGGAGGTCTCTCTAAATGGCAGCATTTAAGTTGGTACCATTGACCAAGAGAAACCAGAAGGAAGAAGGTCATTGTGACTAGAGAATTAATGAGTAAAGAAGAAGTGAGAGGTGATGTAGGAAGGGACCAGGCAAAAAGGACATTGAAGCCTGAGTTAATTAGCTTGCAGTTTATTCTGTGGATGATTGAAAGCCACTGAAGACTTTTAAATGGGAGAAATGTTGGCTACTTTACATTTTTTAAAGATCACCCTACATCTGGAACCTAGAATGTTCTGGAGTAGAAGCATGACAACCAGATAAGCGGCTGCTATTGTGATTCATGGTTTGCATTAGATTGTTAGTTTGTTGACGTAAAGGGGGGGCCACATGGAGTTTATTTTAGGATTGGAGTTTAGAAAACTTACTAATAGACTAGAGGGAAAAAAGGAGAAAGGACTCAGGATATTTATTTTGGGAAAATGGATATTTAGTGTCTTTACAGATAATGGGGTTGAGTGTAAGTGAGGTTTGATGACTTCATGTTTGAGTGTGGGCTTAAGGAGAGGTTTGCTGCAAGAATTTAAGCAAATATCTTTTTTTTAAATATTTATTTATTTATTTATACAGAACTGGGGTATAGGCCAGAGATGCGGAGGGTGAGAGGATTCACCAGAGACAGAGCTGGAGCAGAATAGGCAGATCAGCGAAGTATACTGCTGAGGGGAGCAGTGGGCGGGTCAGGAGAGGTCTGCCACGCCATGTGGTCACCTCCGGGGCAGACGGGGATCGAACTCATGCGGAAGTGGCTTAAGCTTCTTAGTGCTGTGCTTTAACCCACTGTGCCACCAGGGAGGGCCACAAATATCTTTTTGTTTTGATAAAACTTTCATCATCGGTAATGAGTTTTCTATTCGTCAGTACCTAGACTTCCTCCATGTAGGGGCTAAGCTAGATTTCTATAAAGTGCAGTGTTTTTGAGATGTGAATTGATTTTAACTTAAGACTTCTGTATAAATTAAGGTTATACTAAAGGGAGATATCAAGAGCTAGTAAACCCTGGTGGGGGGCCAAGGCTGCTGGTGTTTCCTAATCTATGTCACCTCCATTTTTTGCAAGAGAGCACAGACTGCCTTGAAGGCTTGAAGCCTTTATAAGCTATTGGATTCATGTGGAAGATAATGAGAGGTGAATTCTTAGTATTAGCATGAGTATAGCATTCAGTTGAGCATCTGTTTATCAAGTGCTTGCTCAGTATTGGATGAAACTTGAAAGTCAGCTGCGGGTAATATTAAAATAACTTTTTTTTTTCTTTAATAGCAAAAACAGACATGTGTTAGTTTGAATTCCACATCTATGTATTTGGTAAGTGGAGGCCTAAATAACACCGTTAACATTTGGGATTTAAAGGCAAAAAGAGTTCATCGATCTCTGAAGGTAAGTGACTTTAAAAAGCTTTAGGGAAGTTGGTATCTCACAATTTGTTAAGGATAGTTACCAAATTTTTTTCTCTAAATTTTGAGTTTTTATGATAAAATAAGATGCTTTAGAATTAAAGTGAGATTTATTGCAAAAAATAAAGATGCTTGAATGCTTTATTTTTTCTTTTGTGTCTGTCACTAATGTGTATTAGTGGAAGTTTTCCTTATTGCTTCACTTAGTTGTACTCTTGTTTCAGTGAACCACTTCATTTTTTTTTGAAGTGTGGTTTTCTGTCTACAGAGAATAATTTTTAAGCACTTTCAAATATGAGAATGGTTTTGCTTTGATACAGTATTCATTTTAATAATTAGTGTTGGGTATTTAGCTTTTCAGTTCTTTAGTATGTTGGACTGCATTTTCACATTGGTAATAGGGTCATTTTTAAAATAACTCACTATTTGTGATTAGTGGTTTTTAAATTTTAATTTACTTTTTTTTATAATCTTAATTTATTATTTTAATTGTGATAACATTGGAATACTCTCTGTCAGGTGTCACCATAGATCACCCATAGGACACAAAGTAATCCTTGTGCTTCCTTCCTTCTTTAGTCCCACTTCTCTCTCCAGTCCCACAAATCTCTTTTTGGATGCTTCAGTTCTATATTCAGTTTTCAAGAGTTTGCTTTGAAGGCTTGCTTTTGCTGGTGTTTAGTTTGATTCCTATATATTTCATGTATTAGTGGCACTATCCAGTATTTGTATCTTTCTTTTTCTCACTTATTTTATTTAGCATTACCTTTCCTACTTCTATCAGTGTTGCTGCAAAATGGCATGAGTTTGTCTTTTTCGATTGCACAGTAATAAAACACAAAAGCACTAGTTTGAAAGAACCTGTATCCCTGTGTTCATTGAAGTACTATTTACAATGGCCAAGATACGGAAGAAACCCAAATGCCCAAAGTAGAGGAGTGGATAAAGATGTAGTACATGTACTCAATAGAATCGGTGTTTTCTTGTTTTTTAATAGTTTTGCATTTTTTAAAAAATTAAAACACCTCTCTTTTACACTGAGGGCCTCTAATTATGTTAAGTTTTTTGAATTCTGCTTTTCATTATTGTGTCCTATTAGTATTTGAAAGCTCACCTTTAATGTTACTTTTAATTGCTATGTCTTTTTTAATGTTTTAATTTGAAAACTAAAACATTTATACATACATAAAAAATTTTTTTTAACCCAGCACCCATCTAGTCATCCTCTGACTTCAACAGTGATCGACTCATGGCCAATATTTTTTTCTCTTTATTTTCATCTACTCTCTAGCCCTTACCCCTCATGTGAAACCAATACAGACATCATTATCATTTTATTTTAAATCGTAATGTCTTTGAGTTAATTTTACTTGAGAAATGGCATATAGAGCATAGCCTTTTCTCTTGGCTGACTTAAAAAACAAACTTATATTTGCTGTTTAAAATATTACCTTGGGCCCTCCCTGGTGGTGTAGCGGGTTGGAGCGCAGTGCTGCGAAGCTGGGTGTGGCCACTCCAATGTGAGTTCAGCCCCCGGCCCTGGAGGTGATCCACATGATGCAGCAGACCTCTCCTGACCCACCTGCTGCTCCCCTCAGCAGTGTACTTCATCGATCTGCCTGTTGTTCTCCCCACCATGTCTCTGGTGAATCACCACCCCAGCAATTCTGGTTTGTACCCCAGTTCTGTATGCATAAATAAATGAAATTTTTGGAAAATATATTATCTGGAAATTTCAGATTTTTGGATATTAGCTAAACTTTGAAAGTCTTGAGGAAAATGAAAATGGCTGAGGGGAAGCGAAAAGAATCAGTTGTGATTCAAGGCATCAATCTCCTTTTGGAAATTAAGACATTGGAGTCCAGTGAGAATAGTTAATGAGAATAGTTAGCTCTCATTCATTCTGTGCCAACAACTATACTGAATATATGTATTCTGTTTATCTCAGTAACTGCAGAGCAGGTAACATTATTCCTACATATAGATTGAAATGCTCAGAGATGTTAAAGAATTTTTCAGTGACAAGTAACTGGTGATGGGCAAAGATGAGATGCAAACTCAGATCTTACTCATTGCATAGTCTTAAATTACGAGATAATTGGATTAAAGGTATTTAGAGGTATATGTCTACTATGAGTAGGGGTCTCCTACAAATTTGAGAAGAGATTAAAAGTCTATGACCAATCTTGTAGGCACCTTTTGTTACGCATTTGAGAAGCATCAGTTACCCCATCTGGAACTTGCTGCTTACTACTTTTTTTCCCACCCTTAACTTTCCCAGTTATTCTTCAGTTTTCCCAGTTATTTCAGATAGTTTCTTTTTCTCTTCACATTGTTTGAAACTCTGAGAATGCTTCGTTTTTGCACTCACTCACCTAACAAGTACTTGATGAATTGTGAGAGTAGGAAATCTCATCCTTACCTTTGGTCCCTTCTCTGGAGTTGTCTTCCTAGTAACAATGTGCCACAATTTCTGGCACATGGTAGATGCTTAATAAATGTCTACTGGATGGCTTATTTTCCACCCTTAAAATGAGGAAGGTACTGCCTCTTTACAAAGTCGTTGAAGTTGTGGACTCCCATATGTTAGTTCCCCAAATGGGGTGGATGAGTTAAATAGCCTCTGTTTCTCTTTGCTTCTCCTCAGCCATTTTCTCCTGAGGGTAACAACTCTTTCTTTGATTTAGAAAAGGAATAAATTGCAAGGAAACCTCTAAAAATGCTTATGGGACCATTTGAAAGTTACAACATAATGGAGTATTATAGTTCTACTTATCTATTAGGTATAAAGGTTAGTTGAATTCTATTATCATGACATCAAATTGTAAAAACTACACCCGTAACTCTTACCACCTTTTGTGTTCCTGCTGGATATCTCTAATTTGATATTATAAAACAGAACCTGTGAACTCATTTGTTTAAAACCAAACAGTTTCTTTTCCAGAAAATAGATTCTCTGTTGGATGTGGGAAACAACCCAGTATAACATGAGAAAAATAAGGCTTTAGAACTTGACTTGGACCTGATTTTGGCCATATCTTTTTGCAGTTATGTGAACTTACACAGGTTTCTTAATGTATCTTGGCCTTTCTTGTTAACTTACCTATAAATTGGGAATAATGACTTTGCCTCTCGAGTGAATATATACAGTACCAGCATTAATAGATACTCAGCAAATGGAAGCTTCTCTTACCATCTTTCACACATGGCTTGTCCATTCTGACTTTGGGGCTTTTGTTTACTGCCCTCTTCCATTTTGCAATAGTTGTTTTTTTCCCCTTACCCTAATTTATCTCATCCTTTCTTTAAGGTTGCACTCAAGCTATATTAATTCCATAAAGCTTCCTCTGTCAGCTCAGTTCACAGTGCTGCCTCTTTCTCTTTGCCCTGACACTATGCCTCTATCACTTATTTAACTTTCGTTCAGCCATTTTCATGTTATTTTAAATGTCCTGTCTTCTCAATTGAACATAATACTCTCCAGGGCAGGGACGCTCATAATAGTCAACTTGCAGTAAATGTTACTTGTCAGTGGAAGTGAATTTTTTAAGGTAGACATAATGCCATTTAGAAAATTACCTTTCCTTTCTGTCTCTTGTTTCAGAGTACCTAATCATTACTATGTTATGAAAAATAAATCCCTATTCCCTGAGAAGAGTTAATGTGGATCAGATAGCTTTCTCTCTTGAATAGTTTTTTTAGGCAATTTGAAAAATACGTTAATGCAAATATTGGGTTGACAAATGCGTAATATTTACAAAGCATGAAGTTTACAAAAACATGAAATGCACTGTTGATAACTTATGTGGCCTGGTACTTACTTTAATTTAAATTTCTTTCAGGATCATAAAGGTGAAGTAACATGTGTCACATATAATTGGAATGATTGTTACATTGCTTCTGGATCTATCAGTGGTGAAATTATTCTGCACAGTGTAACCACTAATTTATCTAGTACACCTTTTGGCCATGGTAGTAACCAGGTAAAGTATGGGTTTATTCAAAATAAAGTTGATTAAACTTTGAATATCCTTTCATAAAACAATGAACAAGCCTTAAAATTAAGTATTTTGTGTTACTTAGCTGAAAAAGTGTAATTGCTAGTAAGTTTTTTCATGGCAATGTTTAGAAGAGCTCAATGAAAAGTCACTTTTTACTAGATTATGGCATTTATCCTGATGAGTACTTATGTTCCTAAAATATCGCTACTTATAACAAAATGTAAATAGTTGTAAGTTGAACTTGAGACCTGAATTAATTTTTCTATGATACAGTAACAGAAGTGTTGCATAGTTAAAACTCTCAGTTCTAAGACAGAGACTTATGTTCATAAATACTCTACTGGCCATGGCACTATTAGTTGTGGGTAGGCACAGGATAAAATGAATTTTGTTTAAGTACATGACAAGTGTATGCATTTCAGATTAATACCAGGAGTATTTAGGGAAACTTCATGAGGGAATGTTAGTCAATTATATATTTTTCTTTATGATTAATTAGTTTATTAAAAGTTATGGGAAAAATTAGTTTTTAAGCAAATCTAACCCTTGGCCAACTTTTCATAAAATTCTCCATTGAAATGTCCAGTGAGGTGCAATTTTTTAAATCCTTTTTATTGTAATCACTTTGACCATAGCTATTAGCATATAAAATATAGGAGCTCTTTACTTTTGAGAAGCAGTTTTTTTAGTTACTCTTTGAATAGTATATACTTGGTGTTTAAGGATACACTTTTTTTTAATTTAATAGATATTAGAAATGTATGAAAAGAAGCCTTTTCTCAAATTTCTTAAGTATTGGGGAAATTTGATATACATATAAATGATATGGGTGATGGATATAAAGCAATTTTCTGGTGATTCAGAACAGTGAAAGAAAATTATGTAATTGGGAATAAAGTAGGGAAATTGAAAGAGGAAGAATTAAAGCTGGGTCTAAAGCTTAATAGATTTTTGATTTGTTTTTACTACAATACTATGAACTGTTCCCTGTGTCAGTTATTTGACTCTTAACTTGTGTCAGGGGCTCTTCACATTTCCATGGTTGTAGTTGGGACTGCCTTTTATTTCTTTGTCCTCAACCATGATCCAACTTTGTACTTTACATGGAAAAGATCTTAGTAAATATGTGAGTGGATGAATACATTTAGTGACAACAAAAATTTGTGGTTTTGTGTAGAAGAACTAGGGTGTAGGCCAGTGGTGCGGGAAGATGATTTACCAGAGACAGTGGGGATCAGACAGGTAGATTTACTGATACACTGCTGAGGGGAGCATCTGGTGAGTCAGGAGAGTTCTGGGCCATATGTGGGCAGCTCCCTGGTTGGAGATCGAACCCAGGCTGTAGTGGTGAGAGTGCTGTAACCCCAAGGCCCCGTAACAAAAATTATTTTTTTTTGATTATATATATTTTACATCCTCCTTTGTTTTTGTACCGTGTGTGCTTTCTCCTCTCAGGAGTAGGCCCTGTGTAATTCCCACCATCTGTTCACTGGGTCACCATCACCATGGTCCCTTGTGCTCTCTTGCTACCTATTTTGATCTTCTTCTGCCCCCTTACCTGCAGTGTGTCTGATTTATAGTTGTCTGTTAATTTTGAAAAAACTTCCTTTGGAGAATATCTTGCTCTCTGCATTTTACTGATAAGGATAAATTGTTTGCCATAGAAAACTAGGAGTTTATATTTTGTTATTGTGGTGATTTGTATTTTTATAACAGAAGCATAAATCTTAAGTCCATAGACATCGCAACTATTATGAACTATATTAGAAAAATCTATTCAAATGTCTTGCTTTTTAGGGAAATAATTTCTTTTTTAACATTAGAAGTATGACACATTTAGATTTATAAATTCTGGACTGACTTTATAATAACATAAAAATTAGGTCAGATACTGCTATGTGGTTATTTGTCTTATATTTTAGTTTTATTATAGCCTACTGCAAAGTTTTCTTATTAATACCATTCATGAAAGAATAGTCCTGGAAATGTTCTTGGCCTTATTTAAAATATTTGGTCTAAAAGATTTAATTTTTTAAATGGGGATATAACATATAATAAAGTGGATATATCTTAAGTGAACAGCTTAGTGAATTTTTAAATATATATATATTTTATACACATACACACACACACACACGTTTAACTACTACCAAAGTCAAGATCTAGAACATTCCTGGCACATCAACGAAATCTCAACATTTAGTTATTTTTCATTTTTCTTGAAAGAGTTGTATATCTGCTTTCTTTGTTCTTCCCTGTCTTTCCCTTATTTTACTTAATGATATTTTCTGTAGTTTTCATCCCATGTAATGTCCTATTATCTGAATGTGCCAGTTTATCCATCCTGTTGTCAATGCACATGAGTTATTTCTGGTTTTTAGCTGTGAACATAAAACTACTGTAAATATTCTTACACAAGTTTGTTTGCAAATAACTCGAGTAGAATTGTCTTAGGGTAGGCATAATGTTTTATTAACAACTGCTTAAGAATTTTCAAAACTTCCAAAATACCTTAACATTTTTGCCAGCAGATTATGTGCAGCTCAGTTTCTTTGTAATTCTGCCAATATCAAGTATTGTTTTTCTTACTTTAGCCACTCTGATGGTTAAATGGTATCTTATTTTGGATTTAAATTACATTTCACTATTTGAGTGAGTTGAATACATTTTCCTACTTCTTTTGTGAAGTGACTGTTCAAGTCTCTCCCCCTTTTTTGTACTGGGTCATTTCTGTTTTTCCAATTTATTTACAGTCTATATATGTTCCAGATTTCTTGTATCTACATGTTTACAAATCTTCTTTTAGCTTACAGCTATTTTAATCTTAGTAGCCTTTTTTTAAAAAGTGAAAAGTTCTAAAATTGAAATCTAGTCTAATCATCTTTTATGGGTATCACTTGAAGAATTTTGCTTGCCCCATGTTCTTAAAGATAGTGTTCTGGTTTTTGTGTTTGTTTTTATAGATAAACTTTGTCATTTTACCTCTTATTTATTCCTGTTGTGACCTATTTGAAGTTAATGTTTGTGTATGGTATGAGATAGGGTTCAGCTTTTCATAGAGGTATGTAATTACACCACCATTATCTTTCTAGCTTAGGGACAGTGGATACAGGAAGATTTAAGAACCCAAGGCTTTGGAGACTTTGCAGTGTTCGCTTGTCATTTTACAAAGGAGTCCAAAAGTTACTCATCTTTTTTTTTTTTCCCCATTAAATAAAGTATCTTTAAAAGGTCTAAGTGACAGATTGCTGTATTATTAATTCAAAGGATTTCATTGATTATGTAGCAAAACTGAATTTAAACTTACCTAGTTAAGAAAAATAATAATGCTCAGAGCTTATCCCTTCTGCAAGGTCAGATAAGCCAGAATCTGAAATTTTTATGTGTCTGCAGCCTGTTGCTAGGGCAGTTCACATCTCTGCAGGAGCTGTTGGTGTAGCTTTGTGCTGCAAGTCCCACATTTGGAAAGCTGGCTGTGTGTGCCGGTGCCAGTTACTTACTTCACTCTTGTCTCTTCCTTTTATCAAGTGAGTGATAAGTTACTTTCAGGAAAGTCTGTGAGAGATAAGTGAGCTTTTAATGATAATCATATTAGTCAATTCATTAAAATAGCTTGTTGTGATTTATTTCCCAAAATGGTTTCAGCCTGATTAGGTCAATGTATTTTCCTTTCAAATCCTCAGTAATTTACCAGGTAGCTGTAACTTTGATCTCACATTTTGTGCTTTAAGTCCACCTCAAATAAGCAGAGTATTAACGAATGTCAAGAAGTTGAACTGGAATGTGTTATACTGCTTTTCCATGCACATTTCTATATATTTGCTAGTGTTGTTTTATTTTCCTCTCTACCATTAAAACTGTGTGGACTAGGAAATACCACTTGATCTCTGAGTATGTAAGTATGTAGTCTTAGTTTTCTTAGGAAAGTAAGTTTTCATGATTCTATATATTCTCTTTCCCTTTTAAAGTTAACATTATAATTGAAATCTCTGGAGTTTTTTTTTTTTTTAATCTGTTTTTCCAAGAAGTGATTTCATTATGGCATATTTTTTTCTGTTGTTACCAAAACATACAATGCTTTTTAAAGCATTCATATTTTACCAAGGTTCTTGAAAATTCATTTAAGATTTCAGATATATTAAATGTTAACTTCTTAATTTTAAACAATTCTTGGAAAAATTTCACCTCTGTCAAAAAATTGACATAATTACTATTAGCTGGTAACTAGCCCAATTTCAATGTTGATCAGTTTTATTTTAGATAAGGTCTAGTTTATTGAAAAAAGTAGTAGCTAGGTTGCATCTGATCATTAAATTGAAAGTATCTGTTTTGTTTCTCTATTCATAGTCAAGAATTTGAAATCTTTAAAAATTATCAAATTGATTTCTTAATGAAAGTGACAGAACCATGAAGTCTCATTGAATCTGTATAATCCTGAATTTCATATTGGAAATGAGATTGCCTGAATATATTTAGAATCTTACTTTGCAGTGTCTAAACTGAATTGAAGCTATTAGTTTTATGTGGCTCACAGTGTCTTTCTGCAGGGGAAAAAGAGCCCCCACTTTCTACAGAACTGCTGGGCAGACAAGATTTCTTAGACTATAATTGCACATCATTACTTGGCAAGTTCAGCAACTTAGGCTCACAGATAGGTAACCTGTGCGGCATTTCTCATGTTTGCCATTTTCAAAGCAGTTAACAGGTGGATCTTTTTATTGATTCCTTTGATTAAAAATGGTCTTTAGGCCCTCCCTGGTGGCGCAGCGGGTTAAAGCACAGCACTGAGAATCTAAAGACGCTTACGCATGAGTTCGATTCCCGCCTGCCCCGGAGGTGACCACATGGCGTGACAGACCTCTCCTGACCTGTCCGCTGCTCCCCTCAGCAGTGTACTTTGTAGATCTGCCTGTTCTGCTCCCCACTCTGTCTCTGGTGAAGCCCCTGAGCCTCTGGCCTGTGAACAAATAAATAAATCTTAAAAAAAAAAGTCTTTAAATGTAGTAAGCTTTCTTTGCGATTTTAAATGTATATGTTAAATCCATTTCTTAAATAAAATTTTTGTTATTTATTTTTTAAGATTTATTTATTTATTCATATGGAACTGGGGTACAGGCCAGAGATGCGGAGGGTGAGAGGATTTACCAGAGACAGAGTGGGGAGCAGAACAGGCAGATCAATGAAGTACACTGCTGAGGGGAGCAGTGGGCAGATCAGGAGAGGTCTGCCTCACCATGTGGATCTCCTCCGGGGCAGGCGGGAATCGAACTCCTGCAGAAGTGGCTTTAGCTTCTTAGTGCTGTGCTTTAAACCCGCTGCACCACCAGGGAGGGCCAAATTTTTGTTATTTTAAGAGCCTGTTTGGTACAATGGCCTGGTAAAAAAATTTTCATTTTTAAAAAACAGTTTTTTATCAACAATGAGTTTAATTCTAATTTGGTTAAGTTGGTTGACTGAATTTTGGTACTTAAATTTGAGTGACTATAAAACTGTATAAATAATAGTTGTCCTTTATGTTATATAGGTACATTGGTGTTAAAATGTTTACATGATAATATGTTCTTAAATATCTTGGCTATGTTTCCTTAGTATTTGTGTATAATTGTCTATATGTTATGTTCTTGAGAAAGTTTATAATTGGCATATCGTTATAATATAAATTCATAATCTGTCTTACAGATTCTGAAATGCTAGTTTTTTCCTTTCCAGTTTACTGTAACAGAAAGTTTGAAGAATAATTTCTTGTGGTGTTTCTGTATATAGTTCTGTCTTCCTTCCTTAAAGTTATCATTCTGTTGGTCCAGTCTTGTTTTTTGTTTGTTTGTTTGTTTGTTTGTTTTTCTCGTTAGTGTCTCCACAGCCCCCTCGGGAGGGTGTTTGGAGGAAAGGCCAGCTTTTCCCTTCAGGTTGATACTATTCAAAGAATATGGTTACAGTCCATCCCCAGCCTAGAGTGTTGCCAAACCTCCTTTGGCTAAATATCTGTAATGATTCAATTGTTAGACTGCCAAGGCATCAGGTGTTCATGATCAAACAAGTATATGAGATATTTTCATTAGTTATAAAAACAACAACAACAAATATTATTGCTTTTTCTCTCCCAGTATTTCCTTATACTTGTTTGTGATTTTGCTGTGACCAGCACATTTATTTAGTGTGGATTTTCTAACCTTGATGTGTTAACATAGTCAATCTCAATGTTGTGTTGCTACTCTGAGAAAGAGGCAATTGAGGTAACTAACTATCTTCCAGTATAATAAAATTGTGGCAAATATTCAATTACTAGAATATTGATATGCTTTGGGTCATGTTATAGCTCAGGAAATGATTTTATAGTTGTCACAATTGAACCTATTGCTCTCTATACTAGAGAAATTCTAAATGTCACGTGGTAGTGTGATTAACGATTACTTAGGGTTTATATAAAATGTTTTTACCAATACTTGCAATTATATAAAACGTACTTTTATTTTTATAGTCTGTTCGACACTTGAAGTACTCCTTGTTTAAGAAATCGCTACTGGGCAGCGTTACAGATAACGGAATAGTAACCCTCTGGGATGTGAATAGTCAGAGTCCATACCATAACTTTGACAGTACACATAAAGCTCCAGCTTCAGGCATCTGTTTTTCTCCTGTCAATGAATTACTGTTTGTAACTATAGGCTTGGACAAAAGAATCATTCTCTATGACACTTCAAGCAAGAAGTAAGTGCGTCATGATCATTTCTTAATTTTGTAATAAATAACTACCATTAGACATTTTTTTTCCTAGACCAGTGATTAATCTTTAGGAGACCTCAAGTTGTGTACTTGAATTTTTTGTTCTTTCCCATGCAGGAAAAAAAAAAAAAAAAAAAGATGAGGCTTGGACATATTCTTTAGCATGCCTCGAGACAATTAATGTTGAGGCATTGCCAAGTAATGATGTCACATTTTTATTTTAGCATACACACATACTATTCTTTTTCAAAATACAACTAAATTCTTGTATTTTTAAAGTACTATGATTAATTTGCTTATCACCAATACATTATCTAGAGTACGGTTTCACATTTTGTACTGAGTCATTCTTGGTGGTGGGGGTTATCCTGGATATTGTAAGATATTTAGCAGCATCCCTTGCCTCCACTAGAAGTCAGTAGCACATCTGGGAGTACTACTAGATGGGAGTGGCACCTCTCCCACCTCCATCCTCAGCTGTAAAGGGGAACAGTCCTTGAGGTATTTGGTCCTTTGTGCCTTCTTACAGTTCTGAAAATGCTTGCTAAAATAAAATTTAAGAAAACTGCAAGAGTGCTACAGGTGTATTCCTTACACTTAATATCTAAGGAACACATGGAAGGACATGGTAGTGTTACTATTAAGGAAGTGCCTACTGTCAGTCCATGTTAAGTTTGCTAGTGCTTGTTTCACACTTCTTTTTTTAACTCTTGCTTTTGGGGGTGGAGGGATAATTTACTGAGAGCCCCAAGAATCAGTTTACCTTGTCCTCTTTTATCCAAGCCACTCTGCAAAACTCAGCATTAGCAGATCAGGTTCCATATTCCTGCATTAGTTTCCTGAGGATCAAGCCACATTTACTCTGTGGTCAAGAGATGCACAAATAAGAACAAAGTTGCAGCTGCTCCCCTATGAAAGGTCATAGTCCTCTTGGGGCTTCAGCAGGTCGATAAATGGAAAAGGGCCGACTGATACTAAGCCTTCTTCCCTCTGAGGCTACTGGCCTTCTTTGTGGACTGATGCCCAGGAATTCTGTCATATTCACTCTCAAAGTAATAATAACTATAAGAAGTAGGTGCTGCTTCTAGAAAATGTAGAATAATGTACCTGTTAGAAATAAAGAGAAAAATAGGCTGGAGTGTTTAACTCCTGTAGATGCTGTTGTGTTGGAAATGTCTCTGAGTCTAATTCTAATTTTTCTGCTTAGACAGTATTTAGAATGTGCATGTAATGTTTGCTGTATTCCAAGTAGCTTTAGATTTGGCCTTGTATTTTATGTGTCATAAGAGGTTATACCCTTACACACGTATTTGCATATACTTTATTTTCCTTTCCAAAGACTAGTGAAAACTTTAGTGGCTGAGACTCCCCTAACTGCAGTAGATTTCATGTCTGATGGAGCCACTTTGGCTATTGGATCTTCCCGTGGGAAAATATATCAGTATGATTTAAGAATGTTGAAATCACCAGTTAAAACCATAAGCGCTCACAAGACATCTGTGCAGTGTCTAACATTTCAGTACTCTACTTCTCTTCCTAAGGTAAGATGTGTTCTTTCTTTTCAGCATTTTTTATTTTAGTAAATAAATCAAACTCAATGTGGAAATTATATGTTGTCACTAAACATCATATTGTTTCCTTCATAATCATGTTTATATAAAAGAATTAAAAAAATTGTAGTACAAAGCCATAATACTGAGTTTGAAAACTTGTTTATTCAATTTCAATTTTTGTTTCTTTTCAAAAATGTTTTAAGATTTTTTTTTGGTTCAAAGGGAAATTCATTTAGAGTAGCAAATTTAAGATTTTATGGGAAAATATATATATTTTAATCTTAGAGGGAATCATGAAATATTAATATATAGTATGGAACATTAGAAACCTGAGCTCTTAAATATTCCATTACATTTCAGTCAAGTTTAAATAAAGGCTGTTCAAATAAGCCCACAGCTGTGAACAAACGGACCATTAATGTGAGCACTGCAGGTGGAGGAGTTCAGAATTCTGGAACTGTCAGAGAAGCAGCCATCACTTCCTCAGCCGCCGTTCTACCGCAGCCCATGACAACAGTTGGCGGAAAGGGAACGGCCGCTGTTCAAGACAAAACAGGTAAGCGTTGCTTAGGTGTAGTATCTGAAGTCCCTGTTCACCCTCAAGTTTATATAATTAGCACCTTATCAAAAACCTAGAAATCAAATTTATCTGACCCTTAGGTAGAATCCTTTGCAGATAATATTGAAGTAATAAAAATTGTAACTGAACTGTACATTTTTATAAAAATTAATGAAAACCACTTATTCTGAGCTGAATTTCTGTTATAAGAAATACTATCTTAAAAAGAGAATAATACCAACTCAGAAATTATTTACCCTTCCTACCACTATAGAGTAGATGACTCACTATTGAGTGTTCAGATTAATCAGAAGAGAATATGAGACTTTGATACTATCATTAAGATTTGATCTGAGTTTAAAAAAAAGTTATTAATGGTTTCTTCTATTTCACATTTCAGGATGGAGTGTAAGTCGGGTGTTGAAAGGAATATATTAAGAGGCTGAATAGTGCTTCACACTTATTAAGCAGTATATTAGTAGTTTGTTAAATAAAAATAACGGAAAATGTTAGCAGTTTTTAAATAGCTCCTATTATACTGCTAATCATATTGATGAAATGGTTCTGGAGGAAGAATTCATTTAGATTTTGTGAAGATGTAATATGATGAGCTTCTCCTTACTTAATATAGAAAATGTTATTTGTCCTTATAAAGATATTTCCTAAATTCCTAAAAAAATCTTTTGTTTTTATATAAAGAAATTATGATGTATTGCCAGCTGGCAGCAGATATTTTTTAATCTTTGTGATATAGGAGTACGTTTCCAAGTATTCTCATTAGAACTGGCTGTATCCTTCTCTTTTTAATTTTCAGGACAAATTCTTGACTTGGACAAAAACATTTACTTGGGCTTTTTCAGTATGGTTTACTGTTCCCAATAGAAACAAAACTTTGAATTTGTTGGCCTTGAAAGTATGGAATAATATTTTTTAAAAAGTATAGTCACTAAAACTTTTCTCTGACTATAATCATCTTTATATAAGAACCACACCATATTATTGGCCCTTATTTAAGAAGTGCTAGAATAAACACTAGTATTACCTACTTAAAAGAGCAATTTCTTTTTGAAATACAGCTTATAGTAATGATTGTTAAGATGTTGAATTAACTACATTATGAAAATAGCCATTCCAAAAATTGCTTAGTTTATTCGTAATACTCAAAAATTAAATTTTCTCTTAGTTACTATAAACTTTCTGAAATCTCATTGTTGTATAATTTTTAATAAAGGTGACTTGTCTTTAACAATGACAGCATTAATTAGGGGGTAGAAGATTTGGGTCTGCAGGGTTGCCAACTAATGATAACTTTTGTCTCATTAGCAATGTTTCTTACAAAATGAATATTTGCTCGGCACACACAAGTACACACCCCCATTGCTGGTAACAGAGTCAGGAATTTTTACTTCTTAATTTTGAAATGATTATAAAGTTTCAGTAATGGTAAGACAGAACTCCTGAGCTCTAGGATGCCACTTAGCAGATTCGCCACTTTGTAAGTTGTGCCACATCTGTTTCATCATTGCCTCTGTCTCCACCGCACATACAACCCAGACTTGTTTATCTACGCTGAAATAGTGAAAATATGTTAAATTTAAGTCTGTTACTTGCTACCTAGTACCAGGGTGACTGGGCAGTTTTCTTAACTACTTTGACTCTTCGTAGATTTTTCTTTTCCAGAGGTGATATTTAACTTTTTAGGTTATTGTATAAATCCAAGAAAAATATCAAAAGTTCTACTCAGTAAATTACAATGTTAACTAACATCTGTATCATTACTATTACCATCGTTATTTTAAGTATTTTATAAATCTCAAATTTGAATAAAGCTCATGTTACTTCTATTGAAGGCATTCTGATTTAGTTATTGAAAAGAACCTCTGTAGACTTGATGCCAATGTTCATTTAGAGTAAGAATTGCCCATTTTCAAATGATATCAAACTTCTGTTTTTTAAAGCTCTATAGGCTAGAATTATGTCTTCATACAAGTTGAGAATCTATCTCCGTAGAGGAGAGAAATTTCTTTTTTACCATAGTTTTAACTTTTGGTGTAAGCAGTCACCTATGATGGCGGGGTGCAAATGTTAGTTATATTATAATGTTATGTCAGGTGTTAGCAAAATTTATCTCATCAGCTAAACTTGGATATATTTAAGCTGTTCTTTGTTCTTATCCCTGCATTTCATTTGGGACCAAGATGACAAGTAAAACACTTTAAAATTTAATACAGTAATATTATACCAACTCAAATGCCAGACTTTCATGAAAGATCTTGAGTCTTTTGAACTCAATCCTTACCCTAAAATGGGGTAGGAGAAGCTATTGAACAAGAAGCTACTGAGCCTCAGAGTTTGTGTCACAAAGATCCGGCCTAAATCCACATTATGTACTGAAAGCAAATATAGAACTGCATGCCTCTTGACTGTTGTCTGCTGTATTATTTTTTATGAGTTTGGTATTCTGATGTCTTTCTTCTAGTAAACTACCATTAGGTTAGTGAACTCATCGAGGTACATAATGCTGACAGAAATTTTAAGCCTCACAGTTAGTGAAGAAAAAGACAGAAGATGGGGAAAAGAGAACCATTCACTGCACGTTGGGGAAAGAAACTAACATTTCTTGAATCTGCTATCATCTATAATAAAATAATACCAAAGTTATAAAATAAAAATAATACCAAAAGTGAAATTGTGTTCTGTGAAAGGGTATCATGGTCTCTAACGTAAATAATTATAGAAAATTTCCTTCAAAATGACTAAATGAAGATGGTGGTGTATGAATGAATGAATTGCTTTCCATGAAATGTGGCTAATGAGCTGTTGTCACACTCTGCTTTCTTTTGTGTTCACAGTTGTAATATTAGCAGTCATGTGTTAATGCCTTCATTTTTATAACCTAGCTTCTAATGATATATATTTATTTAGATCTAGTAATACTTATTTTTAAATCTAATTGTTTTAAGGTTTGCCTCGAAATACAAACACAGATATTTTATCTAAGGAAACAGACAGTGGAAAAAATCAGGATTTCTCCAGCTTTGATGATACTAGAAAAAGTAGTTTAGGTGACATGTTCTCACCTATCAGAGATGGTAAGTCTATTCAGATCAAGAATGATTTCTCTTGCTGTAAGTCATTACATTTCTTTGTTTTTTTTTTGTTTTTTTTTTTAAGATTTTATTTATTTATGCATACAGAACTGGGGTATAGGCCAGATGTGCAGGGGGTGAGAGAATTCACCAGAGACAGAGTGGGGAGCAGAACAGGCAGATGTTCCAAAATACACTGCTGTAGGGAGCAGCAGGTGGGTCAGGAGAGGTTTACCGCACCATGTGGGTCAGCTCCTGGCCGGGGATTGAACTTGTGCTGCAGTGTCTGCTGTAGCTTCATAGTGCTGTGCTTTAACCCACTGCACCACTAGGGAGGGCCCAGTCATTATATTTATATTGTGGCTAAAAAAGATGGGTAATAGCTTCGGTCTAATTCTGTTCCTGACAGTTGCTAATTTTCTTAATCCCTGCAGTGGTATCTTTTCTTTTTCCCTGGTACTTCAAATGTTATTCTAAAGTATATGCTGGTAATTTTCATATGAGAACTGTGCAGACAGCTCTCAAGCTAGCATTTAATTTCATAGAAGTTTTTTAAAGTATTGTCTCCATAGGCAGTTTTTACTTCTATTTCTTTCTAGATAATCTTAAAATCCTGAATATTTTGATAGGTAAAACATATCCTCCTCACTTAAAAATATGTGTTTCTTTGATTATAAGTAATTATTTTAATATTAAATGTTTTCATGGAGAACTAAGAGGAGGTCATAGATTGTTTCACCTTTTACACTGTGTGTGAAAGTACCACATTCCCATTACTGATAATAGTATCGATCATTATGTAGCAGTGTATATCAATAAAGATATATCACACTGACCCAGTGGGGAATTTTGGCTTATGACAACTCGTGGAATAACTTTTAAATTGTAGAATGTAGGAAGAATCTTTTAGAAGTGTTAAAGATACAAGTGTGGTCCTCATTCACAGTTTTTAAATTCAGTTCAAAGGATTGAAATTCCTCTTTAGTTACTCTTGATATTTTAAAATGTATGATTAGAAATTGAGTCACATTTTTTTTTTTTAATGTATTACAGTTTAGTGTTTTCTATAAGAAACCCGGATACCAAATAAAATACTGGCCTTCATTGTCAAGTGATTTGTGTTTTAATATTGACAAAACAATTTAGGCAAAAGACTTAACTTATGCTTCAGTTTATCTTTCAAAAAAGAAAGTTTTTGCTTTGTTAAAAGTTGTATTGCTAGGCATATATACATTCAAGAGATGGAGGGGGTGGATTGGTGAATGGGAGATAATTCCTACTTACCTGAGAGTCATGTATGATGATCTATTATCCATTTGAATTTCTGGTGACTTGTTTCATGACATTTGCCTGTGCTTCTCTTTATCTCTTCAAACTTAACTGGTTTTTAAATCGAAAAGGAGTAATATTGTAATATACCTATTCTAAACCTGAAATAAATATTAATAATGGCTTATATTAATTCTAATATTCTATTTCTTGTGAAATATTTTTTCAATATTTCAGATGATCCTCAAAGCAGCCCTGTGAGGTCAAGATATTGCCTTCACTCTCCAGGTCTAGAAGTTGGAGCTTATTCATAATAAAGGCTTGTCCAAAGCCATAGCGCTGTTCAGTGGTTCAGGCAAGCTAGGTCACAGCTCTCAGGAGCCTGTTCCAAGTGCTTTTTCTGGTGTGCCTTTTTGCCTCATTAGGTAACTGTATACCTTAGAATTATCTTTTCATATTTGCTGCTATCTGTGAAGCTGTAAGAATGAAAAGGGAAATTTGTATGAGTACTAACTTTAATTTCACCGTATTTTTTTTTCTTAAAATTCACAGGTTCAGAAAACTTGGGGGGAATGAATAGGAAGCCTAAGTTGCTTTGATTTCCTTTTCAGTATTTTTTAAATTTGATTTTCTAATTTTATTCTAGATGCAGTAGTTAACAAGGGAGGTGATGAGTCAGTAAGCAAAGGAGATGGTAAGAAATACTGAATTTCTTTTAAGAACAATGAAGGTGATATTGTATAATTTATTGCCTTGTAACAACTTACCCCCACATTTTGAAAGTTGGAAGCACAAACATTTATTATCTCAAGACTGTGGGGTAAGAATATGAGCAAATCTCTTCATGATGCTTTTTTAATCAGGCATCAGTAGGACTGCAGTCAATTTATTTGGGAAAGGGTCTGTTTTCAACTCATTCGTGTGACTGTTGACCAGAGATACATGTTCCTTGTCATATGGGCCTTTCCACAGGGCAGTTGACAATGTGGTCACTGGCTTTCCTCAGAGCAGATGAACAAAAGAGTGAGAGAAGGTACTCATGGAGTCACAGCGATTTATGTACTAGACTTGAAAGTGTCATCTCACCACTTCTGCTGTAGTTTCTTTGTTAGTTACTAGGTTCATCCTACATTCAGTGGGAGAGCATTCCCTACTGGAAGACAGGGATCATTGGGGTTCATCTTAGGGTCTTTCTTCCAAGGTACCCCATAGTTAAGTGCCAAATTAGCAATTTTTAGTTGACAAAAACTAATACCAACTAATACTCATCATTTTTTGCAGTTTCTAAACTATTTTTGTACACAGTCTCTTTTAAGTCTTACGAGTCAGGGAAATGGATATCATCACTCACATTTACAGATCAGGAACCAGAGTCTTGTGATTTTCCTCCAGTCATACATATCAAGTAAGGAGGAGAGCTGATAAATGAACCTGTCATCTGAATACAAATCTCATGTCTTTCTACCATATTAACCTGTCTGTTGTGTTAAGTGCTTTCCTTAAATATCCAAGATTGGGCAACATCATGTGCAAATGAAACTTTTTTTCTCTTTTTTTTCAGCTCTTGACTTTTTACCACAGCTGAACTCAGTGTTTCCTCCAAGAAAAAATCCAGTAGCTTCAAGCACTTCAGTATTACAGTCTAGTCCTCTTAATGTCTTTATGGGATCTCCAGGGAAAGAAGAAAATGAAAATCATGATCTGATAGCTGAATCTAAGAAAATGTATTTGGGAAAACAGGAACCTAAAGACTCCTTCAAACAGGTATCCTGCCTGAAAATGCTGCTGAGCTGCCTGTGTGTGTTTGTCACTAGCAAACAATGAAGCTCAGCTCTGCAAGGCAGGCAGCTGTCGGTGACTGTGTCTGAACTATTGACAGAGCTGTGCATTTCCTAGGTAGAAAAGTATTCTTCAGTCTTAATCCACATGTTGAAAACTAGAGAATATTTTTGCTCTTATCTTTGGATATTTTGAAAATAACAGTACACATAAACTTATAATGTTTCCTAAGGTAAGGTACTCATTTTAATGGTGTATAAAAAATTAGTTTCCCCCTGAATTCTTTTAATATGTATTCCTATTGAGATACTGAGCATGACAGTTGATGATCACAGCATTTACCCTATGTCTTGGAGGAAATTGATGGTGCTGAGGGTTTAAAATGACCAAATGTTAAGCAGGAAAGCCTAGTTTTTGTACAGTTTATCTGTATTTCCATATGTGTATTTTCAAATGATATTGAAAAGATACCATTCAAGGTACCAGAATGTCTTTTGACTTTTTAAAAAGTATTTCTGACTAGTTACACATGAGATTTGAGGGGAACGTTTGTTTTTGTTTTTGTTGTTTTTTTTTTTAATGCTATTCAACAGCAGATGCTTAATAAATAATCTTTTCCTAATTATGTTAGGAGATTGTTTTTGATTAGTAAATGATTTTTTTTTCGCCAGTAGTTCAAGCATTTTTCCCCTTCTCCATCCTTGCCTCATTTTCCTTTCTCTGATCCTGTCTACTGAGAAAAAAAGAAAAGTAGGTACAAGTGATAGGAATAAGGTGAGTAAAACCAGAAATCATGTATTATTTATTTTTAAATGTGAAGCTTGCGAAGTTGATCTCTGGTGCTGAAACTGGAAATCTAAACACCTCTCCATCATCTAACCAAACAAGAAGTCCTGAGAAATTTGAAAAACCAGAGAAAGAAATTGAAGCCCAAGTAGTATATGAAGCCCCAGTCAATGGATCCTCAACTCCAAGTGCGTACATACAGCTTCCCTACGTGGTAAAGTATTAACTTGAAAACCACCACTGTTTAACTTGGAAGGAATAAACAGAGTGATTACATACCAAAAAATTAGTTCAAAAGCTTAAAATTTATGGACATTTCTCTAGTATGACTCTCTTATTGGAAGACATTTAAGTGTAGGCAAAAGTTAAATTCAGCCAGTTTGATTTGAGACTCTTGGTGTCAGTTTTATTTCTAATCTATTATGTAAATGCCTTGATCTAATACAGCGCAGATACAATGTTGGACCCTTTGAAAATGACCCATAACTCCTTGAAATTGTCTTTCTCCCTATTACTAAAGCTTTACCTGCAGAGTTTATGCCACAGACCTAAAAACTTGGTCATCTATAAAAGAATATTAGGTTCTACTATAAGAGTTACCTATACAGAACAACTCCTTGTATATAAACAACTCTTTCATGTAGAACTTTGTATGGTCGCTGTGGATCTATTGCATTAGCTTAGACTCCAGGACTCTGCCTGCAGCACAGCTTTACTCCTAGGTGCCTTCTGTTTGCTTTTAATAGTCTTCGTTTATCTAGTTGGTGATGCAGCTTGTCACATTCATCTTTTATAAAAGGCTGTGGTTCTGAGATTCCTCCTCTGTCATATGTTATTACATTAGATAGTTGGCAGTTTATATATATAGATAAATGAGTAGCAGGAATAATGTCATAGAAAGTTTCGGAGATTTGTATCCAGTGAATTTTTCTAAATGTCACAGGAACCGTGTTCTTCACTAGTATTTCAAGTTTTCTCGTGCCAAATCTTATTTAGAAATGTTTGATGTCTCTTTGTCCAAGTTGACTATTAATATTTTTCCCATTTTTTTTTAGTTCCAAAGATAGCATCCTCTGTCACTGCTGGTGTTGCCAGTTCGCTATCAGAAAAAATAGCTGATACCATTGGAAATAATCTACCAAATGCACCACTGACATCCATTCAGATCCGTTTTATACAGAACATGATACAGGAGACATTGGATGACTTCAGGTAGTTTTGAGAAATTCCATTTCTTTCTAGACCTAAGCTGGCTTTTTTCTGTTAGATGTAAACCTGGAATTATAAGTAGAGTTGGTGGGTACTACTTTGCCCATTTTATGGGCAAGACCCATAAAGCCATAGAAATTATGATAAGCATTACTGCTTTTGATGTACTGAACCTTTTAATTATCAGCTAGAAAAAGGCAGATTTACCCAAGGTAATTATTTGACGGCTTGGCAGGGCAGTCTAGAAGGTAGGCTGCCATTGTTGATATTTTTGTCAAATGTGGACAGATTCAAGCTCAACTAGGATCTTTGTATACACAATGTATAGGTTTCCTATTAAGTGTG